AATTGTGAGAGCCACCCATTAAACGTGCGTCAAGCTTGACTCGTATGATAATATTTTGAGAGTCATTTACAAAATTGTTGTGTCAAATATGCAGGAATCACGCGTCATGTAAAGCCCTGATTCAAAACTGTATCGATATTTAGTTTTGAAAGTATCGGTTTAAATATGTTAATATATTGTTTACATTTTGCAATTGTATCATGTTTTTTGATGTTATGATAGCTAAAAATGATTATTTTTCATGCACAATGATGGGAAATTAAAACTTTTTAATCTCTGAGGATAAATAATGTTGATCTTTTCATGGACAATTATAAAATATGAAATATTAATGACCAAAATGTAACTAAATTTATGCAATAATGCTGCGAAAATAGGTATCGTGATATGTATCGAATCGTGATACGTATCGATTCATGAAACTTATGTATCATGACATCCCTAGTACATGCCAGTACCAACTCAGGGGAGGGAGAAAGTTTTTCTACAGAATAGACTGAAAGTAGAAGCAGCATTAAGTTGTGTTTCACTTGAGGGATAATCACTTTTTCTCCTTCGATTTAAATTACATTATTTCATTGCTAATATAAGTCTGTTTAATATAGCACAAAATGGAGGTTTAAATTTACAAGGTGATAAAGGATTAAGCCAATGACAGTTACCACAGACTTGAAGCTTATAAGAGTTAACCATTTCCGATATGGTCTCTGTATGGAGTTGGCATAGGTGTCCCAAAAACATGTTTTTGTTGAATTGTCTGTGAACGTGGTCACAGAATGGATTACTTTCATGGAGAAAATGTCTTGTTGACCCATTTCTTTTGCCTCAGTATTTTGTGTTATTAATATTTATGTACTTGTTTTATATGAGTCTGTGTCTATGTAAAGCCAGGGTCACACACCTGACAAAGCTGTCCAGCCGAGGGCGACCTGTTGATGAGTATGGACTTCTTCACACCATTACACAACATCCAGTAATACAGGGACTGCAGTGTTGACAAGTCAGTCTGTTTTAGTCAACCAGCGTCCTTTGTTATACCTGATATTGATTAGATTGGTTTTTTCAAAAACGGTGAGCAGGAGTGAGTCCTGACAAACCATCTGGTACTGCGTTGTGGTGAACAGTCAGTCACTTGACAGCCAGTTCATGTAAAGCTTTACAGTTAAGGTCACAAAGAGAACTGATTGTTTGAACTTGGACGAGCATGCAAAGGGAGAAAGAACAGTGAATTTTATGGCAATATTATTTTTATATGGTCTTCCATCTGTAAGATTTGAACCCCCCCAGGCTATGTCTCGTTCTAAGGATTCCTGTTTTGATGTAGTTAACTTTCACAACAGAAAAGTACCTGGAAATATCAAGTTTAAAATGAAGTTTCAGTGAAACATTCTCCACATTCTCAACAAGCTGTACTAAGTCTTTGTAGAGGCCCACAATACCTAGTGTTATCACATCAGTCAGATATGAGGCTGTGATGTACAGTTTCAGTTCAGACATGGATGTCTGCTCATAATGTTGACCACCAGGTCCAGTTCATTACAACCTAACACAACAAGCACTTGCTTTGCTCACAAATGTCTGACCCACACTGCTACTGGTAGTGGTTTTACTCAGGTCACCATAGCAACCATAAGGGAAAGAGCCTAGGGCTGACTTAATAGGCACTGAGAAACATTTTTATGTAACCTACAGTTAATTATTGTGCAAGAATGCTGAAACAATCCTTGTTGATCTTTGTTAGTGGAATGTTTGCCATTAGAAACAAATGAATATCTCTTTTGTGCTTATGGAAACAAAACATGAATATTTCAAAGGCCTGGTCAGTAATAAATGGTAAAAACAAATTTGTGACTTTGCGAATTTCGATGACCTGTATCATCCTGAATCAGAGGTGAGATATGGAAATTTGAGATAACATATCTACATACATGACGTTCATATCAGTGGCATGTATGTCTGCAGTTTCTTGCACACCTGTGAGGTGAGAAACTCAGGTGAGTTAACTAGTGCCTAACATGTGGGAGATTGAATTCCAAGTCCATGATTGGGTACTCCATGGTGGGGATGTCACGATACATACGTTTCATGAATCGATACGTATCACGATACCCATGTCACGATTCGATACGTATCACGATACCTATTTTCACGGCATTATTGCATAAATTTAGTTACATTTTGAACATTAATATTTCATATTTTATAATTGTCCATGAAAAGATCAACATTTTTTATTCTCAGAGATTAAAAAGTTTTAATTTCCCATCATTGTGCATGAAAAAATAATCATTTATAACTCTCATACCATCAAAAAACATGATACAATTGCAAAATGTAATCAATATATTAACATATTTAAAACGATACTTTCAAAACTAAATATTGATACAGTTTTGAATGAATTTATAATTGTATAGTCTTAGAAAAATTATCGATGTATTCTGGCACCCTTACTCCATGGTAATGGCCTACGGTCAAATTATGACCAACTACTAACCAGATTATAATTTATTCATAAGTTAGTCATACTTAGATAAGTTCAGATACCCTCGTTAGATGTGTTTGGAAATCTGTTGTAGTAATCTCTCTTTATTATGTCTGTGGACCTGTGAAGGTCCGGGTTAGAATGAACCTTCAGTAACCCATGCTTGTTGTAAGAGGCAACTAACAGGATCGGGTTGTCAGGCTCGCTGACTGGGTTGACACATGTCATCGCATCCCAATTGCGTAGATCGATGTTCATGCTGTTGATCACTGGATTGTCTGGTCCAGATCTGATTATTTACAGACCGCCACCAGACAGCTGGAATATTGCTGAGTGCGGCGTAAAATTCAACTCACTCACTCACTTATTATGTCTGTGTGCTTCATATTCTTATCAGCCTACGTTGATAGCCTCCCACAAGCAGGTTAAATCATCTGTGGTAAATTGTACCAGGGAGTTTATGTTTCAAGTCCTGGGGATTTTATCTTTTTTAACTTTTCTTAAAGTAGTGACCACTGCTTGGATTTAAACTGATGGCTTTGGCCACTTGGGCCATATGAACAAAGGGTTAAATACAACCTAAAGAACACTAAATTAGCATGTGCAGTTTACTCTGACGGTTCAGACAGACAAATATTGCCTTTCTTCATTTGTTCAAAGCAGTAGGTGAGAGCTTGTTTTTGTTGCAAGAAAGTTGTTTCTGAGGTAAAATTGACAAAGTGGTATCTGTATTGAAAAACCTATTTCTGGCCATTTTCCCACCATTATTGTATGTGCTGTATTTACTAAGGTTTCAAATAGATGGGGTTTTTGGGGGGTTTGTTTTGTTTTTGCAATACATTTGACCTTGATTTGACCTTAGCACTTGGACGAAACTGAAAGCTGAAACTTTCTATTGCTCTTACTACAAAACTTGGATTTCAGTATGTGATGATATTTGGTCTGCATATGTTCTGAGTTGAGTTTTGCAATATTTAAATTATCTGTCTTTATTTGACCTTTGCACTCAAATGTTCTCTGAAAAATGAATTTCCTCACCTTGTGAACATCATTGCTTCTGAAATCCGCAGAGGAGTGAAACCTGCAATCTGATGTCCTTTTGCCTACAAATGATAACACCCCAATGTTTAACTGAGAATATGTATCTTTATGAAACAGTGCAGAAATATTCTTATCAGCCTCCTATAATAGAGCCGTTAATTTGTTAATTATTTCTGTCAGTATCACAGGGGACTGATATTAAAGACAGTCAATTAGAAATATCTTTGAGTTTGAGACGAGTAAAGAAAACAAGTAACAGTTGTTCTCTCTAAATATTTTACCCTGTTTAATGCAGATATTCACTTTTGTTGTTGTGTTGAAGATTAGGAAACATTGTTGTTATGTTATGGAAACATGTTAATTGAAACTGGAACTCTTTTAGGCCTAGCCGAAACAGTCCAATGATTTGTTCTTTCGAATTATTTGGGGGCGAAGGGATTAGTCATCTTCTGATGATTCTTGTGTTTTTTTATTTATTTCTGATGTTTTCATGACAACAAGTTGGACTTATACTGAACATGAGGGTAGTGCTCATTTCTCGTGCAGAACTCAATATGTTTCTCAATTAAACTCAAATACGTATCAGTGTTATGGTTATGTGGTGCCTTTTGATGACTTTATGATGGTTAATAATTTATTTTTATCATGTGATATGATGTGGTGTTTTTTATTTTTAAATTATTTTTAGGAATTACAGCATTTGAAAAGTTTTAACTTAGAAAAGTTTGTTCAACCAATAGCTTTAAAAACTAGTGTTCAAATTGTTTTCAAATTTGGAAAACAGCTACTTTATCCAACGGGAGAGGTGCAAAGGTTGGCTCAGAGTGTCTAATTTTTGAAAGAGTTGCTTCAATTTACAATTTTTGAGCTTAAAAATCCCCAAGGTAATGTTTGTTCAACCAATCACTTGTACACATTACTTAATGAATTGTATTCTGATTTGGGTATTGGTTTCTATATTTATTTGAAAGATGCAGTGCAAAGTTTGATACAGGTCTGGTATTTTTGTCAAGAATATATATATTATTTATTGTTCTACAGCTGAAGTTGGGAGTCATGGCTAGGGGTATTAGGAATGTGTTCACATTTTTTGGTTGGTTTATTATGTTTTTATGACAGCAAATTGAATCTTTTAGTGTTGAACTTGTTCCTTTTGATGATTTGGGACTTCCAGAAATATTGAAAATATTAATGTTTTCCTAAGTGAACTGAAGGTATATCTTGGCATTGAGCCAAATTTAGTGTATAAGCAAGTTAACTCCTTTCCTGAATTGCACCAGATCAGGGATATATTTCTTTTATTTACAAAACAAAAAGGAATGCAAAATCATTTGTAACCCATTGTAACAACTTAAAGTGTAAAATGCACAGTTGACTAGTCTGAGAGGTCTCCTGCATAAGATGTGGTTATCCCAGACCTGCATGTTTCCATCAGTCACTGTATCATTCAACTCTCCCTTCTTCTTTTTTCCAGAAAAAGGAAAAGAAACTAAATCCAAAAGAGAAGTCCTGTTCCAAGTCTTGCAAGGAACCCAACAGTATGACCTGCCTGAGAGAACAGATTGCAATACCACCAGTAAAACACAAGTATGATAACAAAAAATCTTGGTCCCAAAACAAAAAAGAAAAGGAAGATCGTAAGTGTTTACCTCCAGCTTGCAAACGGGCCCGGCTGAATCTGCCCGAGTTGGCACCAAAGTGCAGCAGCAGCAAGCTGGGAAGGACAATCACCATCACAGATGATGAAGATGAATTCTCTGATGACCTTCCTGACCTCGATCTGAGACAGAAGACTCCTGAGCATCATCCAGCCTATTCCTCGGGCCCTGCTGTGACATCCTCTCCCATTGTCTTGTCATCAGACGATGATGTGTCCAACACAAGGCTTGGCATTTTCGCATCACTTTCCGCCACTTCAGATGAGACAGTTAGTAAACCTGAAGTGCCAAGTCTTGATAAAAGTGTTCAAGATAAGAAAGAAACTAGTTTAAACAAAAGGTTACTGTTAACAGACTCTGCTAGAAATAAAATGGCAGCTATATTTGGTAATGTTCTCAGGCAAAATAAGACAACACTTGGAAGGCCACAGTCACCCTCAGAATATTCAGATGTATCAAGTAACAGCAGTAAGCCCTCCTCCACTGGTAGCAGACATTTTATGGATGCAGTCTTTCAGCCAAATGAGAATGCTCGTGCACCATCACCAGTGCCAAGTTTATCTGATGTGTCTGACTCATCTCAGATAGATATTGATGATAGTGATAGTGATAGTGATGGTGATGGTGATAGTGATAGTGACGATGATGAATACCAGCCTGATTCAGATACCACGGACTGTGAAATTTCAAAACCTGTCAGTCTGTGCCCATCACAGAGTGTAAAAAAAAATGCTCAAGTTTCAGCTCCAAAGATGACAAGAACAGTCAGTTTCACTAATAATTCGTCCAACAGTGCTCCTCGTTTAGACATACGTAAATTCTTTCCTTCCAAGCCATGTAATTCCTATGATAAAGTAAGCCTTGAAGGTCGCTCAAGTCATCTGATATCTTATCATAGTCAGTATGTTACTGAAGAAGATGAGCTTGCAGCATCTTTGACTCACTTGCATGTAAATACAGTAGACGCTGCTTTAGAAGAAGGAGAGAAGTTTCTAGAGTATGGGCTTGACCTTGTCAGTGACTTCTCCTCAAGATTAAAGCCAACAGATGAAATTGTATCTGAAATCCTTGAAAAAAGTCTGTTGGGTACAAGTTGCATCAGAGTATCGTACAAGACATTCAAACTGCTGAGTCAGGTGTGGCAAAAGTACCCAAGCTGTATACACATAGACTGGGATCTCTTCACTCGTGTGATGGGCAACCTGTCCCTTGAGAAAGGGAGGTATGTGACACCAACAGAGTTTATAGTGAAGGGAAGTCTCTATGTCCAGCTTGTAATCCAGGCTCTTGAAACAGATCTCTACAAAAGGAATCTGCACAATCTTGCAGAAATACGAAGAGCTCTTGCTTACCAGTATTTGTCTGTGGACACGTCGTACACCAATTTAAAGCAGATTGTTTACTGGGTAGGCAGCATTATAACATCTGAGTACAAAGATGTTAGTAATCCCGAGGCTAGTGGAGAAGACAATCAGGTCAGAAAAGGGAGGTCAGTCTAAACACATGTGGTCTTGTATTGATGGGGGATGTGTTCCTAAGGTGCTACCTAATCTACAAAAGCTGCTGCACTTGGGCATTCAAGTGTCCAGGAACTGTGTGGATGCAGCCAAGCGGATCTCTTGTGAATTGGTTAGGACATACATCTACTTGTCAGACATCCAGTGTAAAAAGCTGTTTCTACAGACGCTGTCATCAGATCTCTTGCGTTTCAAGGTAACACAGAGGTTACTGGAGGATCACTGTGATGGGACCAGTCTGTGTTGTGAGGATTTCCCTGTATCCCTGAAGCAAGTTGTAGAGGCATACTACCAAGCCTCCCCCCTCCCCGAAGCCTAGTCACCCCACCCCAGTCCCCATCAGATGATGAGGGGCCAGGGGTCCATGGTGCAGGGATCCAACAGTATTCCACAGCGAGCTGTGAGGAGCTGGCCATGTTAGTCTACATAAATACACAGAGCTATCTGCAGTGTGCACAAAGTAAGTTCATGGTAACCCACTGTCGAAAACAAAAGTTACAGTTAATGCCATTTTCAGTGTCAGAAGCACTTTTCTGTGTTCCTGTCAAATAGTAAACATGCTACAAGTTTCATGTATGGTCCTATTGCCCTCATGTGTAATCATGGTAATGCAGGGAGTAATTTGACCTTATAGGTCCAGCAATGAGCATGATAAGTGAAAGGTTTAACATGTTTTGTCCAGGTGTATAGTCTTTGTGTTTCTTACTTTCACAGCTGAATCAGTCCATGATAATTGTGGATGGCTGCATAAATTTGATTTGTTCATAATGGACTGTAATATTTAAGACTCAGAAAATAGTCGTCTTTTTTAATACTGAAAAGTCAACCACTGGCATGATCTAGTCTCTATTCATCTCAACCCGTAAAGATCCGTGTTAGCTTTGGTCTTCAATAACCCATGCTTGTCGTAAGAGGCCACTAACAGGATCTGACTTAGTTGGCCACATGTCATCGTAACCCAATTGCGTACATCATGCTGTTGATCACCGGATTGTCTGGTCTAGACTCGATTATTTACAGACCGCTGCCATATAGCTGGAATGCTGCTGAGTGCAGCGTTAAACAACAACTAACCAACCCTATTTATCGCAGGTCTAAATGGATTATGATATGTGTTGTAAAGCAGACATGACTAGCCCACGATCAACATTTTTGGACAACAACAGATATTGGCATGTATAGTTTATCGTCTCATTCTCACCAAAGTGACAGACAGGATAAATGGACTTAACTATGGACAATGCATACAGGTGAACTCTAGCCCCATTCCACTGAAAGCAGCATTGAAGTTACTTCCTATACTGTAGTGTTTTCTGTCTAGATTATACATTCAGGTACATGTTGTAGTTCTCCAACGACACATAGCCTACTCAGTGTAAGTGTTATGTAAGCTAGTGCTGATCAATGTTTCACTGACACACATTTCTTCTTTTGTAGCTGCAGAGTATGAGCCTCTGGCACAGCAGTCTGGACACAAGCAGAACAAACACTTTTCTTTTGTGAGTTCACAAGATCAACAGACACTGCGAGAAGCTGTAGATGAGTTGCATGGACACATGTTACAGCTAACCAGCGAACTCAACAGCACAACACACACCTATCTCTTCATGATGAAGTGTCTTGGCAATCTTCACTGAGGTCCTGGGAAAAACCTTCAAGTGAATCATCACTTTACAGAGCTTGGCATATGACCTTGTCCTTTCAGGGTGAATTATTTTGGGAACCTATACTAATGAACACCTCAAGCTTTGGTGCCAATACATCCACACAGCAGGGAGTAACCTTGTCATGGCAGCTCATAGTAACAAGACTGCACTTTCACACCGACATTCAGGGTTCCAGCTCATATCGTCATGGTAGCCAGGCTAGTTCTACTCAGCTTGATATGTTAACATGGTGTTTTGTCTCATGTGTTATTGAAACATCAGCTATACAGCATGTGTATATCGTGAGTGTACATAAGACCTACCAACAAAGACCAGTTCTTTTGTTTCCGTTGATAGATAGTGTTCAGTGTTTGGAAACAGCTACCTTGTGAACCTTGCTGAGTGGTCTCGACCTTTGAAAGACAAGGTTAAACATTTGGAGGAATTGCTGCAAAGCGTCAACACATCACTAGGTACAGGCTGCGCGTTCTAGCTTTTCCTCTCGGTGTCCTCAATAATTACATGTTTGTCCATGTTGCACCAGATTGTGACAGAAACCAGATATACTTTATGAGGTATTGGCAACAGTATGAAGACAAGACTGGCCATATGGCATATATGCGAAAGCTTTTTTGGCAGAGGGTTTGGTGACATGCCATTTTAAAGAGCGTCATCAAAAAGCACTTGGTGTTTTTACGTAACAATATCACTAATATTTATGTATCTTTCATTGTGCACTCACCAATACTCATGGTTTCATAATCATTTCATAATGGCAGCCAAATGTACACTTACAAATTCACATTCACATTCTTTTTTAATTGATGACAGATAAACTTGGCTCAAAAGATATGATCGATCAAAATTCTTTTCTTTGTACAGTGAAACCCTGAACACATTGGTATAGGTAACCACTACAGAAGTTACCACATTGACAGGATTATATTGTCTCAATTTTATGACTGTGTCTGGACTACCATATTGGTCTTGTACAGTTGGAGCTTGTTTCCAGAAAATATGTGAAACATTTTCTACATGGATCTCTCTTTTGACAAACCTTGTAACTGTTTCTGGCTTACCATGATGGTCTGGTACAGTTAGAGGTTGTCTTCAGAAAATATGTGAAAGATGCGTTCATGGATCTCTGTAGACAAGACTTCTGTCTGTGTCTGGACTACCATGATGGTCTGGTACAGTTAGAGCTTGACTCCAGAAAAGATGGTAAAATGTGTTCGACATTGATATCTGTAGACAAGCTTTCTGTCTGTGTCTGGACTACCATGATGGTCTGGTACAGTTAGAGCTTGACTCCAGAAAAGATGGTAAAATGTGTTCGACATTGATATCTGTAGACAAGAATTCTGTCTGTGTCTGGACGACCATGATGGTCTGGTACAGTTAGAGCTTGACTCCAGAAAAGATGGTAAAATGTGTTCGACATGGATCTCTGTAGACAAGACTTCTGTCTGTGTCTGGACGACCATGATGGTCTGGTACAGTTAGAGGTTGACTCCAGAAAAGATGGTAAAATGTGTTCGACATTGAGATTTGTAGACAAGAATTCTGTCTGTGTCTGGACGACCATGATGGTCTGGTACAGTTAGAGGTTGACTCCAGAAAAGATGGTAAAATGTGTTCAACATGGATCTCTGTATAGATAAGCCTTCTGTCTGTGTCTGGACTACCATGATGGTCTGGTACAGTTAGAGGTTGACTCCAGAAAAGATGGTAAAATGTGTTCGACATTGATATCTGTAGACAAGAATTCTGTCTGTGTCTGGACGACCATGATGGTCTGGTACAGTTAGAGGTTGACTCCAGAAAAGATGGTAAAATGTGTTCAACATGGATCTCTGTATAGATAAGCCTTCTGTCTGTGTCTGGACTACCATGATGGCCTGGTACAGTTAGAGCTTGACTCCAGAAAAGATGGTTAAATGTATTTGACATTGATATCTGTAGACAAGCCTTCTGTCTGTGTCTGGACTACCATGATGGTCTGGTACAGTTAGAGCTTGACTCCAGAAAAGATGGTAAAATGTGTTCGTCATGGATCCCTGTATAGATAAGCCATGTATGTATGTCTTTGTAGATGTGTCATGTCTGTATATGCTTAATGAATGGAGAGTAGCTTTACAGATTTCAGTTAGGGCCACATGGAGGAACAAACTCACTGTGACACTTGAAGCTTTGGCTAGGCTAATGAGTAAATCTAATTAGACAACATCCTATGACAGTACCAGAGGTGCTAACATAGTTGTTAACCAAGTCATCAGCACCTGACTGTTTGCCTTTCTTCTATGCACAGAAGCCATTTCCTCCACAAATATAAGACTTAAAAAAAATAGTCCTGACTTTCCTCTTAATGAATTAGATATATTTGTTAAAAGAAATTGCTGCCCCATATCTTACCTCTCAGCTAACCCTAAGGATTGTAAAGGGGGGCGTAATCAGAAAGGGGATGCAAGGGATAAGGATGGGTGTAACTTACGCTAACCATAATGATTAGGGATAAAGAGGCAGGTGAAACCTCTGAAATGAGATCTACAGTAGTCAAATAGTGCAACAGTAAGTTGCAGCTGGTAAACTGCACTATTGCCAGTGAATGATACACCTGTGTGCAGTTGAGGTATGTCCATGATGTTCAGTGTTCAGTTGTTGTCACAGCAGGTCAGTTGAAATCCAACATGGAGGTGCTCACTCCCTGAGGGAAGGTCATCAGCCTCCAGTCTTTCAGTTGTCCCCTGTGAGGAATTTACAAAAAGAAATGGATTCTTAATGTTTTTGTTACCATTTTCATGCTTCACATGCTTGTATTGGTCTGTTCAAGAAGTAGTGAGATAGTTTGCTTTATCATGAAATGTTTTATGGTGTTGTCACTCAACCTCAATCAAATCACTAACATCTTTTTTCTGCTAAACAGGGAACTAGTTTCCATTTTATTCCAGAATATATTTTGACTGTATCTGATAGAGAAGAACAATATGTTTTGAATGAATTAAGACTTTGGATGTTCTTGGAGTTATAGTTTTAAAATGTGACTATTACTGAGAACTGTGGTCTAACTTTCTTTCAGATGACATAAAGAAAACAAACAATGAAGTATAAGCTGAAGGCATAGTGCAGTGATGAAATAGAGTCAGTGATTTCTTTTGTCTTCGCATCATTGTAGCATGCAGACCTTAAGGAAATATTTCGTGCATGGTGTACTTGCTCACAACTGTTATGTACTGCTTTGTTTTTTGCAGATAATTGTGAAATAAGACACAGATGACCTGCATCATCATGTTGCGTCACCTTGATAAGTGTTCTCAGCTTCATCAAATCGCTGTTGGAATCTTAACTCTTTGCTGACTACAGACTTTGCAGACAATAATTATCTCCAGTGTGTAAGACATCTGGCACATACTCATTAATAGATACAGATACTAGTGATGTATACTCAACAACAAAAAGTTAAGGACAACCCCAATTTTCAATATTAAAATATTTAATAGTTCATGTTATGATCCATAAAATACATAAATATTAAATATTGGGGTTGTCATTAACTTTGTTTTGTTGAGTATATGTTGTCAACAAGGAGGGTGTGATAGGTCATGACACTGGATGAGAAGTATTAGCAACATCTGGCACAATGATATACCTTTCATCTGCCCTCCTGACTGATGACCTGGGGCAGTGGAGTAGCCTAGCAGTTAAAGCGTTCGTTCGTCATGCCGAAGGCTCATGTTTCATTTTCCACATGGGGACAATGTGTGAAGCCCATTTCTGGTGTCCCCTGCTGTGATATAGCTGGAATATTGCTACAAGCAGCGTAAAACCAAACTCACTCACTCACTCACTCACTGATGACCTGTGCAGTATACGAAACTGTATAGAGGGAGGTGCATTTATTGTGGCAAGCATATTTCCATGTTGGAACAAAATAGAAAGTCCTGTTGGTAAGCTATTACATGTACACCCGATGATATTGTACCCCATGCATAAATCTTTAGGAGTTACTAACTTTCTTGAGTGGTTTGTGTATGTTGGTTACTGCAGGATCGAATTCATTGTTTTCCAGCAGTTGCAGAAAAATGCTTTCTCTAGAACCATCTTTGCAGTTGTTTTCAATTTTCATTTTTGAAATGTTGTATAAGTGCATGTAGTTGTTGAATGAAATTTGCTTCGTTTCAGTTCACTATGACTTATAGTGCAAGGGAGTATATTTGTATGCTCATGACACAATATATAACCTCTCGAGGTCATCCTGTGCAAGTATGGAAGCTTGCAGCAGGCTGAGACAGAAGGTGCTACAAACAGTAACAACACAAATGGTGTTTCATGGTGTGGCTACCGTGCTGAACGTCTAAAATTGCTGATTTGTGATATTTTAAACCCAGACTTTTAAATATGTTTCATGTACAGTATTAGACGTGAATGGTCATAATTTACAAAAAGCAAGTTTTGAGGGTGTTGGTGACTTAGCATTGATAGCTATGCATGTACCCCATGGTAAGCCCCTTGCATTGCTGATCATCAGTGTCATGTTCTGTGAGACTGCAGCAGGAACAAGACGGTCTTGATTACCTAATACGTCACTAACTGGAATATGTGTGTAATGTGATGATTGCTCAGTGATATTTGTGTATTCCTTCTAAATAAACTGTATATAGTTAGCATTTTGTCAATAGATGCCAATCAACATCATTATTTTTGTTATAGTCGTTTTCTAATTTTGTCATAAGAAAAGTAAAATTGTTGAGATTGTTTAGTGTTGTTTTTGCTGGGTGTCTGCATCTATTGTCTTAAGACACAGTTTACTCTGTTTCTGTGTACCAGTTTACTTCTAGATCAATAAGAAGTGGAGGATACCAGTACATTGTGCACCTTGACCACCAGAGCTTGGAAGACTTGAGTTTTGTTCTGTGAAGGCAAATACTGACTGACAGGAATAAGCCTGCAATCAAAATGGAAAAAGGGAGAAAAAACTCCTGGGTCCTGTTCCACAAAACAACCCTAGCACTATGATAGTCACACATCTATACACAAAGAACACCTGACATATCTCACAATTGAATGAGCCCCGATTTTAACCCTTTGGAGCATATCTGGGACATGATTGGTAGTCGTGTGCAACAAAGGGATCCTCTTTTACAGAGGCTAGCCCAACTGGAAGCTGCTGTAAACGAGGACTAACGTAGGCTGCCCCTTCAGAGGATCAGGAGGCTGACTGGGTATGCAGAGGGTGTGCTGGCTGGTATACAGTCACATGCAGGTTACACTCGGTATTTACCTTGAATCGTCTAAGACACGCAAAATTTGACATTCTGAATGTTCACACACACCAATAAATTCAACATTAATCATTCCAGGGCCATACTTGTACGGACATTGCAAAAATACAGGGGTGCTGAATTAAGTTATTTGTGTATATGTTTAAATATGGGAGTTATAATCATGGCTTTCTTGAATGACTCGCTAAACGATGTTAATATTGCTGTTATCGCAGATTGTATGCCTTTTAGGTTAATTTGAAATATATATATATATGTGTGTGTGTGTGTGTGACAAATACAGATCTAACAAAGTTTGGGCACACAGGAAAAGTTTTAAGTGTAAGGTGGGGTATGTGACTGTTCAAAACTGTACACTATGGACTTTTTTATGACAGTTTTCACAAGTCAAAATTGACATAATGACCCTCAATAATGGGTGTAACCACCTCGGCTGTTTATCACCTGCTGACATGATGAGTGACATCTTCGCCTCATAGAGAGCACTAGATTACGCATAAATCTCACTGGTAAGTTGTTCAAGGCATTCAGTACAACATTTCTAAGCTCTTGTAAGTTGATCACGACGGTTTACTTGTCTACCGATGTCATCTCCTACATGCTCTGCCGGGTTGAGATCGGGTTGACTCTTGACTTGGCCAAGGAAGGAACTCAATTCTGTGCTCTTGTTTGGCTTCCTGAACAACAATAGCACGATGTGGGCGATCATTGTCATCTTGGTAAATGTCAGGATTGGCGTGAAGGAAAGGAATAACTCTTATCAATAATCTGATTGTGATACTTTGCCCCTGTCATTGTTCCTTTGACAACCTTGATGCCACCTTCTCGTCATAAGTAAATCTAGCCCATACCATTACGGAGCCGCAGTCCCAAGCGACAGTAGGAAAGACTAACTTCGGCCTGAGCTCATCCTTGGTTGCCCGTCTGACACGTAAACGACCGTCAGCGACGTATAAATTGCAGCGTGACTCATCCGTCCAAATTACTCGTCGGCAAGTTCGAATGTTCCAGTTTTGATGTTGTCTAGCCCAGAGTAATCGGTCTTGCACATGCCGAGGTGTCAAACGTGGGCGATTTAGTGGTCTTCGAGCCCTTAATCTAGCTGCCACGAGACTTTCATTCACTTTAACTAACTTGACACGTTGACGCCTGTTGCTTGTGTCCACTCTTGGCGTAACTGGTTAGCTGAATGAAAAGGATTATCTTTCGCCATTCTAACCAAACGACGATCGTCACGCGCACTGGTCTTTCTAGTTCGACCATGACGAGGTCTTTCCTTCACATCACCTGTCACTCTGTGTTTGGGTAACAGTCTGCTGACCACTGACTTACTAACGTTAAAGTGCTCGGAAATTTGTCTTAGGGACATGCCTGCTTCCCTCATGCCTGTCATCTCCCATCGTGAAGCATCCGAGTTCCTGTTCAACTAAGTGCTTTTCGGCTTTGTTGAATACATTTAGTTAAGTGATTTTCTTGGATCCTAACCTGGAATTCAGAGGTCGGGTTAGCTGACTGTGTTGATTCATGTCAGTTTATCCCATTTGTGCAGATCAGTGCCAATGAGGTCAAAATATAGCTTTAAAATGTAAATATACATAAACTCTTGTTGCCTAGTGTGGAGTGGGAAAGACTATTTATTTTACTGGCAGCCTAAGGGGAGCTTGAATATTGCTGTCTGTCACTGATCTTTCTTAGCCAGTCCAGCTCAATGCCAGTGATGATCTTTAGTTTGCTGACAACAGAATTATCGTATGGGCGGAAAAAATATTGAAGCATGTATGAAAAGATTGCTTTGATTGGTCTCAGAGCATCAACATATCATAACTGACTGGTTTAATGACAAGTGAAATGTTGTATGTAAAGTTGGATGACCATTCAATAAGGAAAAGGTCAAAGGATCATAGATGACCTGACCACTGATATGAAACATATGCCATAAGTAAGCGCAGATGTGTGGATTGGTACCCAACAAACCTGTTCCTGTCACAAGGGACAACTGAATAGATCCGCTTGTCTGGCTCGGTGACATTGTTGTTAGCATGTCATTTTTGGATGCTCAAGTTAATCGCTGTCTTGTATGGCCCACACTGGATTATTTACAGACCAACATATCGCTGGAATGGAGTGCAGCATCAGACAACTACAAGAAGCAATGACAAGGATATTACTCCTGGCATGTGAAGCACCACCTTCAATTTATCCATGAAATGTATAAAGACTTGATTGAAGTTTGCATGGTTAAACGTATTTGTTCTTTCAGATTTGTATTCATGTTTGTTTATTTGTTTCTTAATTGCAAAGTTTTTAAACATGAATCATTCCATACATTTCCAACATGAAACACTTGGTCCATTGTCAAATGCAGTGAAGATTATTTCTTGTTCATGAGCATGTTAGTGTCGTAATTCAGAATAGCAGGTGGCCATGTCCTACACACACCTGACTATCCGCGCAAACAAACCACACTCCTGGAGGGTGAATGGAAATGTCATCGGGGACTCATTAACTTCTTAGTGTCATGAGGCCACTTAAGACACACTGCAGTCATGCAAGCCATTTTCACGATTTTGAAAAATATATATTCAATTGCCATTGAACACGAATGAAGTTAAGGATAGACCCAAACGGAGAGACATGTGACGACGGGGAGGAACTTGTGTGGGAGAATAGATCAACGCGCTCCAATATCTATACTGCTTTGAGTGTAAAACAAACAACCATTCATCCTGAAATACAATTTATGGATCTTTCAATACATATTCATGAATACATCTCCGCAACCTTATACTAATTAGCAATTTGTATGAGTGTGTTCATGAACGGTACACGATTTGGATGTTTGTTGGGGGCATGATAATCATACGTGTTTATTTAATGTGAAAAGCACACAATAATAGTTTGCTCATGAAACACTTTGTTTATCCTCAAATAACGTGTACACTATTAAACGGCTTGAGAACCAACATCTGCGTGTCTTGACTAAGCGGCAAACCGGAATGGCACAAAATGAGGACATTGAATTATTTATGGGAATACAATATCCTCTGTATTGAGACAATATCTACGGCAGGGCAGCACATACGCCTAATGTGTGACGGTACGCCAACACGACAACCACAATCGGAATCGTTACCAAACTACCACATTAACAATTAATTAACATTAACAATACACAAGCTTAGTATAGACAGCATCTGATGTTCAGAAACAAGACTTTGGACAGTATGCTGTTCACATCGGGACAGTTCTGACTGGGTACAACAATCTGTAAGAGAACGTATCGGCGACGGCGTGTTGCTCAACGTCGTGAGTTTGGGAATGGAGTTAAAATGGTATGTGCTGGCATCACAAGTGGAATAATACAACTCATCACTGTTAATGTCGATATCCTGTTCTATCTTGCGGGGAACGTGACGTCAAGTTGGAGTAGGACTATGCCTGCCCACGTGTTGCAAGAAACTCTTTGAGGCAGCTGTTTTGCCATGTTCGACTGTGTTCTCCTCTAACAGAACATGTCTGAGATGGGATGATGTCTGCCACAGGACATAAAACAGCTCATTGCGTTAGCTTTGTTTGTCCAATCTTTCGTTCAAATTTGGAACAACATCCTGCGGGCTGTTGGAATGAGACGCCGTAACAAAGCAAATGGTCACCCCCGATACTGATGTTGTTAATTGTGTAGTTACACCACGCCTGTTAGGGCGTGACACTGTATCGCCTGACACAAGATGTGGGCTTAGGAATGGGTGTAGGATTTGTTGTGACAAAGACGTACAAGACGTACATCCAAACATAATGTGTATAAAATAAGAACTATAGCATTTACACAACTGTGTATACAAAAGAAAAACAGCCTACTTTACCATAACGGGGTAGAGAACATTAAAGGTGAGGCAAGGAACCAACGACGTGCGTTACTGTCTACGACATGCTTAACCAAATTATATAGACCAAGCCTTGTTCATTGATCTCGATTACAACTACGTCGGCCAATCCCGGAGCAACAGGAGTCGTGTTAGGCAGTACGTCGAAAACTGGAAGTTAGTTACGGACGACCGCTGGGGCTGGCTGCTGGAGGTTACAAGCTACACTACCCCGAGTCCCCAGCCAGTACGGCGTCTATTTTATCTGAAAAGACCCAAGTACGCAAACATGGCTATGCAAGCACTACGAGGCAAAGGAGCTACACGTATTCGCGCATTAAAGGAATCCGACAAAACCAAAGTTTTCTACTCTCCAAGTTTCCTGGCATCGAGAAAGAATACCCCGGACTGTCGATCAATAAAGATTTTCAAGGACGTCCTCCCAAAGTCCAGAATGAACTACAGAGTCAGTTGCTGATCCGTTGGGCTCCCTAATGGCACGCCACCTAGACTAGCGCTTAGTCTCTGAATATATATTATTTTAGAGGAAACAAATAATTCCTAATAACTGAAAAGGAGCCCCATTGATATGTGAGATTTCTGAACCTGAGGTA